AGTGAAGTACTCATTATTTGTTTCCTATTCTCTCGCTGACTTACATTACACAATAAACATTAAATCCAACTTAGTGAAGTACTCATTATTTGTTTCCTATCCTCTCGCTGACTTACATTACACAATAAACATTAAATCCAACTTAGTGAAGTACTCATTATTTGTTTCCTATCCTCTCGCTGACTTACGTTACACAATAAACATTAAATCCAACTTAGTGAAGTACTCATTATTTGTTTTATATCCTCTCGCTGACTTACTTTACACAATAAACATTAAATTCAACTTAGTGTAGTATTCATTATTTGTTTCGTATCCTCTCGCTGACTTACATTATATGTTTATAGAATATTTTTACATTAAAAAATCGTTTCCTGATATTGTTTTATCATAAATTTAATTATAAATAACTAATTACACCATAGTGTATTTGGGTATCTATTACTATGAAATTGATTTTTAAAGTGCGTTATTTTGTATTACAGTTACACTTGTTCAGAAGTTGTTCATAATTATGGATCTATTTGTATTACTTATCAGATTTTTATCGAGCTCGGGACTTACCGCTGCAAGAGCTGATAGAGTGTTTTATCAAATACTGGTCTTTGATTGGTCGGTAGCCAGAACTGAGGGTAGTAAGCAAAACTGACTGTAGTTTGGCCATCGTTAAGGTTATTGTACACTCGTATATCGTGAGTTTTGTCCCATTCAGTCAGGGTTCCGTTTATACGCTCCATGACATAATGCATCATCCCTCTGTTGGTAGAGTCTCCGATAAACAGCAACTATAGGAATAATTAAAAAAATGGACACATACGAAAGACTGAGATAGTTAAAACACATGTAAATACAATTTAAGATATAAATAGAGTATAAGCCAACAATAGTTGAGAGTTAAACTACTCTAAAAAACACAGTTGAGGGGATTAAACACCTAACATGAACATCATGGAAGATCGTAAGAAACGCGTACAAACAAAAGTTTAAGAGATGAAACAGATTTACATAGACACTGGTTGAAGGAGTAAAAATATGCTCAATAGGAAGATATATTTCGGAGATTTACAGAATTACGGAACAGCAGTTGATAAAACAGTACATATACTCTGTATGCACCCATTGTAACGTTTAGATAACACACAGAAACAAGCGGGTAAAATTACATAGATGTAACCTGAATAGAAGGAAACCCATGCAAAGAGATATAAGTGCTGATTGCTGTTAGAAGAAACACTAAAACAAATTAGCTTGAGGTAATGGTTATAAAAATTAAGCTTATTAAATATAAATTGAGGTGGTGATACAGATTATGTTACATCGAACGCTCCATCACTTTAAAACAAACCTAAGTTAGCATATCTGAGTGAATGTAGTACACAACGTTTTGGTATGGGCGAAATAAAGTTTGCTATTTGATTTTTATTTTTTAAAACTCTCAGTCTAATAAACGAGATACCAACGTTATAATGCTACACAACCAGTGAGTGACGAATTTACTACTTAACCATTTTCGAACACTCCCTTCTCACACACTGAATGTTGAAGCGAGAAGAAAATGAACTTACATTAATTCAATTTGTCGTGACCGTTGTGCACGGATTTCAGATTTAATGTAAAAGCGCCATATTTTAACTAAAATCGTTACCTGAAGGAAAATTCTAATATCCCCAGTCGACATACGTGAAATGTGATAGGTGAAAAAACAAAATAAAATAAGTAAGTATTTCCAAGGCCTAAAATAAAGCGTATTATAAACTGGTGTGAGTTTCTATATCTTAAAAATCAGCTGAAATTCAAGAAGTATAGAAAACGAGTTGTTGGAGTTCAAAAGGAATCTTACGTTACATACATATTTCACTGGATGATACGAAGAACGAATTCCTACTGATATTGATGGTTTCTTTGCCTACTTCTAGATGGAAAGGCGTGTTTGTAGAGGGTAGGGTTTTTCCAGTATTACGTTTACGTGTAAATATTGAAAGAACAATTTATACTTTAATATAAACACCGATTAATTTAAGGAGTACAATTTTTGGTTTGAAATTATTGGATAATTCAAACTATATATAGATTTCAGAAGAATAACTTAAGGACCACAAGCGAGTCATTTTTTTAATAAATTTAAATCGGTAAGCCAATGAGAGTTCTTTTAGATGAAGCAATTATAAAAGCTTTTGAAATCTCTATTATCTAATGATTGAAACAGTTAGTTTAAGGTCAACTTTGTCCTAGAAAAAATCCAAATGGTAGTAGTGAAAGATACACTGTTAAACAATTATAATGAAAGTATCAAGCCATAAATCCGAAACTCTTAAACAAAATACACAATCACTGTACTTTTTAAACTCAATATCAAACATATATTGAGCCATCTCATAACAAAAAAACATGTAACATGTTTCGAAATAATTCTTCTCGAAAACTTGGTTGCTGAATAGCAGTGTGATAGCAAGAAAAGTATTTAGACATATCAAACTGGAATATTATTCCTTAGTTTAACCACTATTACCAAAAGCGATCTTTAGTAACAAAATAGAAAGACTTCTGATAGGAAAGCATTCAATGTGTACTTCGATCACATATAATATGGTGTTTGTAAGAAAATATAGGGAGTACTAAGATACAAGTTTAAAATACACGAAAAACCTATAAATAATTGTCGTTTTAAAATTATAACTTTGCTTATAATACATTTTAATGTCTGAATAGTTTGACTGCCATGAGAAAATGTTTCAAGTGAAAACTTTTCTAGAATTACTAAATTGGTGAATGGGACTAATGTGCTTGCCTTAGGCCCAATACACTTCGTTACTTTAGCTGCTCATTAGGTTTGACGTTAGCAAAGTTTTAAAGCTCTTGATATTCTATATGAATAAAGTTTAATCCTTGTTATCTTTCACAACTACAGTTTAAAATAATTGAAATTTTACTAAATTATTTGGTCCGGCATGGCCAGGTGGTTAAGGAGATCGACTCGCAGTCTGCGGGTTCGAATCCCCGTCACACCAAACATGCTCGTCCTTTCAGCCGTGGGGGCGTTATAATGGGACGGTCAATCCCACTATTCGTTGGTAGCCCAACAGTTGGCGGTGGATGGTGATGACTAACTGCCTTCCCTCTAGTCTTACACTGCTAAATTAGGGACGGCTAGCGCAGATAGCCCTCGTGTAGCTTTGCGCGAAATTCAAAACAAACAAACTGAAGTATTAACTAAAAGACTAGGGTTAGGGTATATAAATAACTAGACTAAAATGGCTAGAGCTGAAGAAAAGAAGAATATTTTTCTTAAAATAATAACATTTATCAACACTTTGTATTCTTAATACAAGTCTGTTGAAATATTTAATATACATTTCATATAAAATTTCAAATAATACAATTGATTGTATAATAACCAAGTACGCCAATAAATGTCTGTATTTTAAAATAAACACAGAATAATATTTTCTATACTCGCACAAGGGTTAACATATGCAATATAACAGTGTAATATTTATTGAATGTTTTTATTAAAATTACCAGTTTTAAAATAATGAATAATATGATTTTAATGTTCTTCACGGACAAAGTTTTTACAGTACACTGTTAAGAACTTTGAGATCATGTTTGAAAACTATGAAATACTCCAATAAACCCACTTTGAAGAGGAGTGAAATAGAAGTAACTCAACATTGAAAGTTGATGTAAGGGTTTACGAGGAACTTTTTTTTTGAAATCGCAGAAACTTGTGCTTAATCAAGAATAAGAGCTATTTGAAATAGTTGGAATTGTTTAAACTAACATTTTGCTTGTTCTCACACATTACACAATTATTACAATTTATTATCTTTTGTGCAAAAAGAAAAAAAAAGGAATTACATACCTTTTTCTTGGCAAGACACTGTGATAGAAGATCACGTGACAACAAGGGATAACGACAGCTATAAGGGTTCCATATTGCTTCTCTCCAAAAGCATGAATGTTGATTCGCACACGACCTACACGGCAGAACCCACCGACCTAAATATGAGTAAATACGAACGTTTTATATAAAATCTCTACCCAAAAAGTCTTCTACTCAGTTGAATAATGCTTCCAAGTCTCAAAGTTACAGTTTATGAAACTAAATTTAAAATGATCATTAACATCTTTCAATGTCATAAATATGAAGTCCTCCCACTGATTGAAGTAGCCCCTGGTGATAATTACTGTTCAGTTTTTACTCTTCAGATAAAGTAACAACTAGATATAGAGTTGTACTGTTGAGATAAAGTAACAACTAGATATAGAGTTCTACTGTTCAGATAAAGTAACAACTAAATATAGTGTTCTACTGTTCAGATAAAGTAATAACTAAATATAGTGTTCTACTGTTCAGATAAAGTAATAACTAAATATAGTGTTCTTCTGTTCAGATAAAGTAATAACTAAATATAGTGTTCTACTGTTCAGATAAAGTAACAACTAGATATAGAGTTCTATTGTACAGATAAAGCGACAACTAGATATAGAGTTCTATTGTACAGATAAAGCGACAACTAGATATAGAGTTCTATTGTACAGATAAAGCGACAAATAGATATAGAGTTCTATTGTACAGATAAAGCGACAAGTAGATATAGAGTTCTATTGTACAGATAAAGTGACAACTAGATATAGAGTTCTATTGTACAGATAAAGCGACAACTAGATATAGAGTTCTATTGTACAGATAAAGCGACAACTAGATATAGAGTTCTATTGTACAGATAAAGTGACAACTAGATATAGAGTTCTATTGTACAGATAAAGCGACAAATAGATATAGAGTTCTATTGTACAGATAAAGTACAACTAGATATAGAGTTCTATTGTCACAGATAAAGCGACAAGTAGATATAGAGTTCTATTGTACAGATAAAGCGACAACTAGATATAGAGTTCTATTGTACAGATAAAGCGACAATAGATATAGAGTTCTATTGTACAGATAAAGCGACAAATAGATATAGAGTTCTATTGTACAGATAAAGCGACAACTAGATATCGAGTTCTACTGTTCACATAAAGTAACAACTAAATATAGTGTTCTACTGTTCACATAAAGTAACAACTAGATATAGAGTTCTACTGTTCAGATAAAGTAACAACTAGATCGAGCTCTACTTTTAAACTAAACAGTTAACTAGGTATAGAGAGTTACTACTGCTCAATCAAAGTAAAACGTAGATTTTTTTTGTCCCAAATGAATTGGGACGTAGTGTTTGGTTTAAATAAAAGTATTTCAAAAATCTGCTTAAGAAATCACACATAAAAATGGATGGAAATGTAAGATATAAAAGTCTGGTGTCTGTGGTTTAATACTCTTAAATAAAAGTGATTTTTATATAATTTCTAGTTACAACATACCCAGGCGAATCGGTGATGTTAAAGTGGCGCTTTTTATATGAGAGAAGTTTCAATACATCACCGGAAAACAAACAAACATTTGCACGAAGACCACCACGGGTGAGAAGAAACTAATGTTCATGTATTGATCGTGTCAGAAAAAAGTATCCATGAATTTATCTTTCCAACTATCGCACATATCAACAAAAAACGATTCAACGCAAAAGGGTCAATAATAAAAAAAAACATCAACTTTAAAACTAAGCAGATAAGAACATTGACATCAAAGAAGCCCAAGAATTGATGGTTTAGTTAGTGGAAGAAGGACTCCATTTCTTGTTTTATACGAAACGAATTTTCCAGTTCTGTAGTAGCTCACCTAAATATCATCAGTTCTTTGTCTTATCTACAGTTTCGCCTTTTACTGATGAGGTTTTCTAAATTCCCGTTTTCTTATTACTTTTTCCTTAAAGGTACGACTTTTATGAGGTGTCATTTCTCTTGTTCTACACAGTAGCCATAAACGTTATATAAAACATAAATGTTCTAAGCAGTATGTCTTACCAGTGGTAAAATAAGTACGTCAAAGTGTCAATGTTTAGAAAACCTTACACACACATATAATGTCAACAAAATAAAACAGTTTAATCACACTGTTTAACACTATTAGTCATTTATATACTTTAATACGTGAAATCTTTTCTGACAAAAAATAATTTCGTGAAATGTGTATTGTAAGGAAGGAGGACTGTAAAAATTAATACTCGAGAAGTGTGTTACAGAAGTTATAAGTACTTCAAAACAATTTCCATTTGTATGTAGTTTTATGAAAATATAGAAGAAAAAAAAATACTGGCTAACAGTCTACAATTAATGAATAGCTCCTATTATATTTATTTTTGAAGTAATGGGTTTATCGGACACAAACTGTTAATCCGGGGGTTCATGGTTCGCGATCCATTACCACAAGAGTGGCGGTCAAATCTCATTAGTTGATAGGACAAGAGTAACCCAAGGATTAGTAGTGGGCGCTGTTGGCTAGATGCAATTCCTTTAGTGTCTATCAGTTCCAAATTAGGGACCATTATACATAAATAACTTTTGGGAAGCTCAGCATAAAATTATGAAATAAACTAGACAGTGATGTAACTAGAAAAGATGTTCCCCTCGCATAAAAAGTAATTAGACCCTCCACATTTACTCTTCTTGTCAGGGCTTACGGGTCCCCTTTTGGTTCGCCGCCCCCATCTCTCCGCAATTACGGGGGCATACTTAAGCCACTGAAGCTAAGCCTGTATAGAAATATAAAAATAAAAAGCTTCTGATAAGATGGCTTTAGTCTTTCATAATAAAAAGCTATATTTATTTTAACATAAATATTGCTTTTTTCTTTCGGTTTCAAAGTTGGTGTATATTTCGTAAGGCAACACTAGCTCTACATTTTCACATTCACATTGCACATTTTAACCAACCTGGTGCATCACCTTCACCACAAGCTGGCAGATCTGCTGCCTTCTCCATGTATGTGATCCAGTTAGCATGACGTTCTTTCTGGATACCACAAGGTTCATTGGGAAAAACCTGGAGATCGCACTCCTGTAAACAAACAGATATTTAAAGATGCAGAAAAATATAAAAGCAGTTATCTTTCAACAATATCCAATCTACTTTGGCACATGCTAACTTGAAATTTGTATTAGGACGCCCTACTCTTGAAATAAGAATAAGAATGATAAATAATGAAAAAGGTAGATATTTATTCTGATTACAAAATGGAACTAACAAAAAATACGTAAAACTATTTCTGTTACAATAAGTTACCGAATATATTCATCAATAAGATGCCAAACGTCTATGAGTTAGTAGACATAGGTGTAAAAATGTTTAGATGCAACAAGAATCACTGTACTACATATAAATTACAGCTCAGCTTGCAAAGGATTCGTTTTGTTCTTCTCAGACACGAAAAGACAACAAATATTTCACTATTGAAATCATATTGAATTTTGAAAAACCAACACAAACCTGCTTTAGACTACACACTTGATGTGGGAGTTCCGGACTAAAGGGCGGTTCATCATGTGTGACAGACAGACGATAGACCAATAAAGTGTAAGTGTTAACTACCCATGGCTCAGTATGGGAAATGTCCACAACCAAGAACGATATCCTATTTGGACCGACTCCAAGTGTGTAGTTGGTTGGTCTGTAAAAATAAATAATGAACACTCAACTTAAACACTAACACTTACGCTACAGAGTTCAATATTCATATCAAGGTCGTATACAGCAGAGGGATCTAGAGGGTCAGGATCTCCCCTTTTTTTCTGAGAAAGTCATAGATAAAAACTAGAATGTAGAGAGACTGTGCTACCTTGTCTGCAAAGCTTTGAAATAAAGAACAGTTATTCTGTAAGTTTAATGAAAATTGGACCGCTGTATCCCTTATAGCTGTTACTTTGAAAACACCAAGTGATATATATATTATTATTATTAACTAACGTATTATTAAGGAATTACGTGTATCATTGCAACTAGGTCTCTAAATTATTCTGTATTCACCTTGCATATTATTAGAATTTGAAGTACTTCTTGCCAATACGAATCTACTGATTGCTTGTTTTGACTTGTCGTGTTTTTGATTATTTATAATTTAAAAGTTTTTAAAACAAGTGTTTTCATGAACATTTAGCTGAAAATGGGATATACCTGGATGGTCCGTATTTATCATCTATCCGTACTTCTGTCTGACAGTTCTGGCCAAAAGCCCATACTCTCACTAAGAGCTGATCGTAGGACACGTTAGCAACGTAATCCGTCACAAGAGGAGAAAACGCCGGCGTTATGATCAATGCTGGTGACACTATTATCTGACCTACGTACGGCATAGTTATCGGATCTAGAAAAGAAAAGTACACTGTATTAATTGAAGCTTAAGTGTTATTATACATCAATTCTTCTCTCTGCAGCGCCTAAAGATACTCTAAAACACAAATTTTTATAAACATGCACGTATCTAGAATTAGAACATTTAAATATCGCGTGTTCTTATTGAATTAAAAAACAACAACATAATTAGACTCTCACTAAAATCTCAAAATTACGTTGACAAGATAATATAATTTCGTTTTGGTTAGTTTCATTTTACATGTATATGTTTTTGATACCGTAGATACATTTGGAGATACAAAAACATTAATAAGCGGTATCTGACGCTTTAACTAAATCAAGGAGTGATGTGGGTGAATCTTGCAAATTAATGTGATATTTGTTAATTGTTAACTCTGCAGTTTTATCGACATTTGCGGAGAAAAAGTAAAATTAGAAAACTTACCATTGCTACACTTTCGGTTTGCAAATTGACCTAGAAAAAAAGAATGAAATATATTTGGCTATACTATCTATTAGATCGACATCTACGTGTTTTTGTTTTAATATAATGTCCTCCTAATCCTTCTTGGATAGTTTGAAGTAGAAACGTGTTTCATGTCTTACGTTTTGTTCTGTTCACTCTTTTAACATAATAGGATTCTAAAAAATGGTGATTAGTATTTTTACCTTAAAACATAACGAATTATTACTTTAAGTCTGGAGATTAAGTTTTAATGACGAACTTCTCCGCCGAATAACAGTCACCGATTCAGGAATAGTATATATAAATATTTATAAAGAACGATCTGTAGTTTTTTTTACTTAGAACTGTGAGAAAATTGTATCTTCTAAATAGTGTAGGAGACATAGGTTCTTGACAGATAGATATTGCCTGGAAGGATCTATAAATAATCAATTATTTATTTGCTTACCATGCCAGAACGTGAAATCATTTGAAACGGTGTGCTGTATTTTTTTCCTGTGCCTGTCAGCCTGAGGGAATGTAAATATGTTACACAGCGAATCAGTTTATTTCAGCTTTTCTCTAGCAGGAGGCAAGTCGTGAGGCTATAAGAAGTGTCCTTTTATTTTAACGCATTATTTGTTGTCAATATTAGAGAAGTAAATAAGGACTTAGCATAAGAAGCATTCTAAGGAGCCTCCAAAGATAAGAACCTGAATTATTTGTTTGTAAGTGAAAAACACAAAATTATAAAGAAACTGCAATCAAAATAAACGAGTTACAAAGCGTGCTTAAAGGCAGTCAGTCCAAGACAGAACAAAGCAGATAAAACAAAAGAGCAGTTTACATTCACGAAAAAAGGGAGAAAGGTTATCTTGTTAATAAAAAAATATGTAGAAAAAAACATTTTAGAATATTGTAAAACATTATTTGACAAAGTCTGTGTGTGTTCGCTTATAACTCGCGAACCGCTGGACCGATTGTCACCAAAACTGGCATGCACCTTCAGGTCCTCCACCGGATAGTGACATTTGGGTGGGACGGATTCAGGTTTATTAGTGAGAATTAATATTTAAGTGTATTAATATGTATTTGCATGTACAAAGAGATATTCGTAGTTTATTAAAATGATTGTTTGTTTATAGTTAAGCACAAATCTACACAATGGACTATCTGGCCCAGTTTCTAGCTTTGTAAGTCCGGAGACATACCGCTGTGCCACTGGGGGGCTATAAAAATGATTTGCATGCACTTATATACTGGTATGTCATCGAAAATGCTGGACATTTGACAATGTAATATAGGTAGAGTAGGAAAATAAGTTTTTATACAACGAAACTGTAAAACAATGCATCTAAAAAAACACAGCATTTCGAAGAAGATAGACTTCAGTCTTCCTCACGGAGGAATAAGCTCGCACAACGGAATATTTAGGACAGTAACAAACTATTCAACTAATCAAGTGCAACGTCCTTAGCCAAAAGTGGAGGCTAAAAAAAAAAAGAAGAAGGAATAATCCAATCCAAGGGCCACAGCGAGAAAGGTGGAGACATTTCTGGTATCGTTATCAATATGATAAACAATAATTTGATGTTGGCGTGGGGTCACAAGTCCAAAGTTCTCAAGCTCCCGATCCCACCCCGCTAGAAAGGTGGCCGAAGAACTGAAACCATAGCAATCTCGTTAGGCCATTCACCCAATGGAGAACCCGTGGAAAGTTTCTTAAGATATGTGGTCTAAGATTGAACTCGCTGTTCTTCGCATAACTTTGTTACAGTGAAAATTACGTAATCGTTTCTATCCGGCTGTCCTTGATCGACGAAGGAGGAAGCAGGTTACAAGGTTACAACCTGGAAATTGTCTTTTATAAAGTGTGATAAGATCGGACAACCTGTTTTTAAATGAATAGATGTTATGACAACTCACTATATATGCACTTTAATAAATGTTCATATGCGGTGATATACGTTCATATAGGTCAGCACATATTATGATGATAAGTCAGTATGGATTAGATGGGCCAGTATGTGTTTTAGTAAGCCACTATGCGTTAAGATATATGTGTTCATCCATGGTACTACCATTCCTCGTATTTATAATTTACTAACCTGCATAAGAGTCTGTGTCGTCCTGAACGTAAGATTCTTGCTTTTCTGAAAGCTGGTTCATTAAGGATGACAAGTTCATCCCTCTCCTGCAATAAACAGAACAAACTACTAGTAAAGCGAACAAAAAAACGGCAACAAGAAACAACAACAAAACATCACTTGTATCAATCACAGAACAATATAATAGATTGAGGTTAGTTTGTTCAAATCCTACAAACTTATTTTCAAAGGTTCAATAAGATGTACAAGGATTACATAGCTAGCAGAAACATTTTCATCACAATTGATTATTTACATAAGTTTTTAATAACATAGTTTGTTTCAAGTTACAAGGAATAATAAATAACACGGTAAATCAAACATTTTAAAAGTACTTTAAAGTTAATTCATTTATCTACAGAACATCGAAAATGTTGTGCTTTTAAAAATAAGAGCATAAGGTTTAGTTTAATAAATTATGAGCAAGCTCTTTTTACATATTCAAAGACGAAAACTTGTCGCACGTTCATAAATGAACCTTAGTAGTTTAGTTCAAACCCTGTTCTGTGTCTAAGGCCGGTACTTTCCAATGAAACAAGCGGATGGGAATGGTAAATAATTCCTTTCCTGGACAGAATGATGCTAGCCCACCGAATCCTTAGCTAACAGCTAGGTATCCATTATACAGTTGGACAGACTGGAACAAGTGGGGTATTGCTTAAGGACACAAAAGCATGATGCGGGTCAACTTCGAACTCACAACTATCCGATTATGAGTTTAAAACGGGAAACCACTGAGCCACGCTGTCCCTTAATAATCTAAGGTAGGGATTGTTTTATGTTATACCACGATCTGATTCAACATATAATTACTTCAACTATTCATAAAAAAAAATCTGAAATACGTTAAACTGTCATAGCATCCTTCAAACCATTGGAGATATTCAGGCATGCTTACATGACGCTTAGCAAAGGTTATTTCGAGATGGCAGCAAGTAAAAAATGCGAGCATATAAAAGAAGTTAAGCAAAGCTCAGCTTCTCGATTACAGCTAGTCAGAATGTCTGAGGTAAGTTTATACTTGTGAATTACATTGGCTTCTAGTATTCTAGTTTTACGCAAATGACAGAATTTCTTAACGCATGACCAGCTTTAAGTTATTGTACGTATACACTAATGTTATTTTTATTTTCTCATAGTTAATGTTGTACATACGGTCATTAAATACGGTTTAAATTAGGTTTCACAAGAAGATCACCGACAGACAAATCTTAAGATCACTGATGAAGAAATCAATACTTTAAAACTATATATTTCATAAGTAAAACATTTTTATAAGAAAAGTGAATATTGTGTATTTGTATTTTATATTTATGGCAACACTACTGAAGGTTATTTACCACTGTCCCTAATTTTGAGCTATTGACCAGATGGAAGACAGTCAGTCAACAGCACCATACATCTCACTATCCACACTAAGGGATTCAATGTCACTCTGATATTACACCCACAAATTAAAGTACGGGGATTATTTTATTGTATAGCACCGATTCGAACATGGCTCGTCAGATATGAAATATACAGCTCTACCACAGGGCCAGTCCGCGCCTAAACATAGTGTGGCCCAACATGACCAGGTGGTTAAGGCGCTTGACTCGCAATCTGAGGGTCGCGGGTTCAAATCCCCATCCCAACAAACATGCTCGTGGGGGCGTTATAATGTTTCAGTCTCCAAACCCAACAACAGCAACATACAATATAGAACCACTACTAAACGAAATAGAACTATTCTGCAATAAGTGGAGAATTAAAATAAATGCGCACAAAATACAAGTCATATTATTTACAAGATCTAGACGGGACTCTCTTACAGGTAGAAACTTCAGCAAAATTCTTAGGGATTACATTTGATTCAAAATTAAAATGGATACCACACATTAATAGCATAAAAAACCAGAATTTGGAAAAGAGTGAGTTACGTTAGGAACCTGACTGGTAACAAACAAGGAGCTTCATCATTAAACATATTAAACATTTAAAGAACATACATAAGACCAGTCGTAAAATATGCCTGTATAACATGGATAAATGTATCAAAAACACACCTCAACAAACTACAGCAAATACAAAACTCTATTTTATCGAAAAATATAGAGACCCACGATCAACAACTTCTGAATTTCTACAGAACTATTCAAATATGCCAACCTTATCAGACAGACTCCTTACTTCAATATTGTAAGAAAAATATTAATAAAAATGAACTAATGAGCAAACTAGAGAGTTACATAATACATGATGAACCAAGCCCTAAGTACCTCCCCCCTCTAAACATCATAAATAAGAATCTTACAGACCAAACTGAATCCTAGACACAAACGTAGCTCTATTTTAAAAGGGTTTTGTATGTAAAAATATGATTATGTGTGTGTGTATATGACTGCTAAGTGGAACTGTATTGTGAACACAGACTAATAGTGCGATCATACATAAGTGAAGCTAGTGAAAATATACGAGTTAATATTACCCCATGGCACGAAAAGGGTATGTTAATTAAAACTGCGTACAATGGACAAAGTTTAACATACTGTGAGTAATACAACAACAACGTAACAAGTGTTATTACCTTGGATTCAATAACATTACAAACAAAATAACAATTACAGAGAGGGAGGAAGAGGTCTACTCTGAACCTGACCCTCCCTGGTCCAAAACATAAACATCGTGTATCGGATGATTGGGAAAAGAAGTACACATTTAGGGGCAAGCTTAGATAATATTTCATATAACGAAAATTTCTAAAACATTACGAAGTTAAAATAATTTGTTCTGCCTGAGGAATCATTTTATTAACCATACCAAGTATATTCCATTTATCAATTGTATCTTAAATGCGTGCATTGTTCTGACTGAAAGTGAGAAATAGCAATACAAACTAAATAACCGAAGGATGTGGGCTTTAACTGAAAGTCAATTTGCCAACTAAGATTAGAATCAAAACAGCTTAGACTGTTAACTTTCGGCCCGGCATGTTCAGGTGGTTAAGGCACTCGACTTGCAATCTGTGGGTCGCGGGTTCGAATCCCTGTCCCACCAAACATGCTCGCCCTTTCAGCCATGGGAGCG